GCATTAAAGAACAGCACGACTTGGAAGGGAAGCCAAAGAATTTACAGCAATATTTACACAGAGGCTCTCCCCAGAGATAAGGAGGTACACAGTCAGCTTGGGAGATAAGCACAGCTGTGGGACCAGGCAGAGCAGGCTCTGTTGTTTGTGCATCCTGAAGTTCAACGGGATCAGAAGCCAGAGCTGTGTGGTACAGGAGAGGGGGATGCAAGCAGGACCACACACACCAGCTGGGACCTGGCCTCTGGAGGCACAGATGTTTGTTCAGTGTGTTTGCTCAGTGGCTTGCAGTGAGAAATGGGGCCAGAGGTGCTCCCTCAGACTCCTAGACCCAAGCCCCAAACCTGGGCTTGAAGGTATGGTTTAATACAAGTTAATGACTATAGTGCCCTGTCCTGGCGAAGATGTGGAGATCTGGCCCAGGTTAATGTCCCTGGCAGCCACCATCTGTCCTGTCCACCACATGCTTTGGGAGCTGCAGTTTGGCAGCTGTTTCTCCAGTGGGTCCTGCTCGTGCATCCCAGCTCCATCTCCAAGAGTTCACCGTGATTCCACCTGGGGAGCCCTAGGGACATTTTCTACAGCCCAAAGAGAAAAGGCAAACCTCTACATCGAATTCGAGGTGAGGTACAATTCCTAGACAAGAATGTGTCCCAGGACACAGGCTGTACAAGGTCACCCAACCTGGGGAGCAACTGAGAAACTTCATCTCTTTCCTGTCCAGGTGATGTTGCAGTCGGGTCTCCCCTCCGTAGTTCTTTAGCTCCACTTTCCCACCTTTCCTGCTGGCTCTGTGAGATGTGCAGTGCATCTGTGTTCAGTTGTCCCTCTGCTCTGCTGGCTGAAGATCCCTCAGACCATTCTCAGTCTTCTCCAGCCACTTGTTGCCAAACAAGCCAAAATCTCACATCCTCATCCAGCAAAAATACCTGACCCAAACCTTTCTGAAGACAAAAGGAGTTTCACTTGTTTTTTTTTTCTCATTGACAGCACCAGGCTTTGGATCTAGTCATGTGGAGAAACCAAATAAGCCCTGTGCATAAGCCCTTACAGGAGAACCCAGCCTGCTCCATGCCCCCTTCCTGCATCAACCAGACACCTCCCCTCTCTCTCCTGGTTCCTTTATGTGTTCAAATCACCCATGGCCACCGCGTCATCCTGTGCTAGACTACATCCCCACCATCCTCCCCGGCCCCTAATAGCACTCGGCCACTGATCTCCGAGCACTCCATCCATCATTTGACTAGCACATTATTTATTTACCATGGGGGAGAGAAAGGAGTTGGGTTGTCTGGAGAACGTATTAAATTTTCATTTGTTCTCATTGATTCCTGAAAGGAAACTGCTGAGTTATGCCATCAGGTTGGACAATATGGAGAGTATCTACTAGAGGGGGGTACTGGGTGTGAAATAGGGGCAGAGTTGAGGTTGTTTTGAATATTAGATGGAAGTTACAGTGACCATTTAGCTGAGCAACCTGATGAAATATATCGTCTGCTTCCCTCAGTCTCTGCTGTAGCTGCTTGCCCAGACTCTTCCCAGTTTCTTCTGCCATATGGGACGCACGTGGTACCGTTTCCTCCTGGCTGCTGGGTGAGGAGCTCTCCCTCGCAGGTTTCCCCACCGACTCCGAAGCACCGTGCGTGTGCGTGGGAGTGGCTTCTGGCAAGGGCTCCTTCCCAGTCTGCAGGAGCTGCTCGGCCTCTTCCAGCTCATCCCAGTCGGTTTGGAGACAGTTGCCTCACATATTTCTTCTCCAGGCATGTCTGGGCTCTCTCCCCCTGAATTTCCGCTGTGGTAGTTAGCACGTTATTTATGGCAATTTTCTCCTATTTTTTTTTTAGTATGTACTAATATTGTAGGTTGCACAAGAATACTGGCTTTTCCATAGGGCTTCTTGTCATCCAAAAAGCTGCTCATTTTTTTTCTTTCCCAGCCAGAACTGGCATCCCAGCCAACAGTGATGACTATGGTTCAGGTTTTCCACGCTTCAAATTATTATCGTTCACGTTTTCCATGCTTTGAAGGCCACCAAGGACTGACTTGGAGTCTTAGCTGAGCACTGGCTCACATTATTTCATCCAAATCCCATTTTCTAACCAAGTTAAACAAGTGTTGTTTGAACCTCATCGAGACACCAGGGTCACCTTAACTTTTGGAGGAAGTCTGTAGTGAAAATGTTGAAATCTCATCTGAACAAGATGGAGAAGAAATTCTCTTTGGTGGAAAATCTCATTGCTAGGGTTTTTGAGGACAGACACTGTTTTCTGGGTTAAAATGGCCACCTGTGTCTCATGCTGCCTGAGAACTGTGGGCTGGGGAAGTCCCCACATCTCTGAAGAGGTCACCTCCATCTCTGGCCCCTCTGACCCCACTTGCTGCCTCAGGTCACGGTAAACTCTTAATTCAGGGAGCCATAATGTAGAAGTGGAATGTTTTTACTGGGGCTTTATTTTTGCAGTCTGGAGGATAATCAGGGGTCCTCGGGTTTCTGTGGGAGTTGAAAGAAAGGACAGAGCAAACTGGCACTGTTCCCAGTCCAAAATGTTTTCACTAATTGCATGCAACCTTCCTTACAGGAGGGAGAGGCTGCAAATACCACCGGCAGTTTAATTACCACTGTTGGTTCATGTTGATTTTATTTATGCTGCTCCCAGTGCTGCGTGTGAGCAGTGTGTGTGTGTGCAAGGTGGGATGCACAGGGAATCATGGATGGCTTGAGGCTTGAGGGAGGCAGCTAAGGAGCATGTGTGTGTTTATTTGGGGTTGTGGAACCTTTCCAAAGAGCCCTGAGGTACCAGGTGGCCGCACCCCAACACCCATGGCTGGTGTGGGTTGAGAAGGGACGGTGTGAAGCTGAACACGGGTGTAGGGGTGAAACCCCTGGACTTCCAGGCCTGCTTCCCAGAACTGCTTGGCTTAGCCAGCACCCTGACTCAACTCCGAGCCCCGTGGTGGATCAACTCCCCTTGCTGTCCTTCCCCTCCTCGAACGCTTCCTCCCCATCCCGGAAGGGGGGAGAGAGCGGCACGGGAGGAATCCGACACGAGCAGGCTGATGGCTGCCGTCCCAGTGCAGGCTCAGCAAATGGGGCTTGTGATGGATGAATGTGCAGGGCAAGAAGTAATAAAATGGGCCCCAGTCATGTAATCTTCCATTAAAATGAAATGCATACCAGAAATGAGGCATTTCTGCAGCTTGTACCATCTCCCACGGAAGATCATGAATAAAAGAGGCAAGTGTACTGTTGACAGATGCCGGCATGCATAAAGGACAGTTCCTATAAAGGCAAAGCCCCGGCTAACAGATGGACTAAAGATGTGAGATGCAGGAAGATTTACCAGTCTAAATAATTCAAGGGAATGTCGTATGGGGAGGCAGTGCTGGAGAGGGGAGCCGGCAGAAGGTACAGATGGAAAGGCAGGCCAGGCCTTTCCCACAAACCCATTAAGAACGTCGCTTGTCTGAGTGACAGTATGTCGCACGAGGCACCAGCAGAGATGGGTGGATTTGCCTCCAGCGCTCCTTCTGCAAGGTCAGGAGAAGAGGTAATCTCAAAGGTTGCATCTCTTTGAAGTTTGCCTCCTGCAAGGCCTCCTTCTCCAGCCTTCCTCCTCTCCCACCTCTTCTACTTCATCCCTTCCTCACCTGCTGCTGGGCAGAATGGGAGCACAGAAACGTTTCGGTGGCCGCAAGCAGAGGGTAGATGTGGCAAAGGCATTCACTGTTCCCATTGCTCTTCTCTGCCTTGCTCAGGACATCCTTTGGACTTGGAAGGGGCCTGGGGGTTATTGCTGGGCGCCCTGTGCCCATTGAGGGCATTTGGTGGCTTTACAGAGCTAGGTGGAGAGATGAGGCTGTTGTGTGACGTTTCCGTGCCCTGGGGATGGCAGCTGGAAAAATTTTGTGAATCTCCCAGGCCACTAATCAGAAGTCTGAGAAGGGCTGGCTGAAGCATCGCAGCGTGTTGGGAGGGCTTTGGCAACACGGGATGCAGGGATCAGCTGATGTAGGAAATGGCACAGAGGATGGGGCATCGTGGTGGCTGAGAGCAGGACAGGGGACGCCCAGGGCCGCTTTCCCACTGTTCTCTGGGAGCCTGGGGTTGGCTTTGGTGAATGTGAGACATTTTGGGAGAAGAGTGAGGATAAAGGGCAAGATGCAGAGGGCTAGATAGAAGTCGGTGGCAGCTGCTTGGCAGAGATTGTGCGCGCTCTCCGCTCGGAGAGGACGCCTTCCCCGGGCTCGTCAGCCGTCTGCAGCACGGCGATTAATCATTGGTGTCAGAATCCCTAATCCTATTCAATGGAAAACAAACAGCACGGCATCCAGCCCTGTGCTGAGCCCAAGCAATTAGCATGTTTACATGGGCTGGGGAAGCTCAACAAAGAGTGGCCAACGGGGGCCACGGGAAATGAACCCTTGTCAGCCCCTGATGTTCCGAGCGCCTGGGATCCCCAGGCTCTGACTCAGGCCCAGGCTTGGAACATGGCTCGAAGCAGTTGGATGCAGCTACTTGCCACCAAAAAAAGATTTTTCTCGATTAGGGCTCAGGTGTCTGTGAGTGTGGGCAGATGCTGAGGTGGGGAGATGTGTCTGGTATGGATGGTCAGCTGGGGAAATGGGGATCCGGAGGAGATTAGGGGTTTGCTCCTGCTTAGGCTTTGAATCAGTAGCAAAAGTAGCAGCCAAAGCCTTTGCAATTTCAGGAAACTCAGCCCTGATGCCAAGCCCTTGTCCTTATTCCTCCTGCTCCTCTCAGGCCCTCCCAGCTGCAGCTGCATCCCTCTTGCTGGAATTATTTTGATGTCTTTGGGTGCTCTGGGTTAGGATTGGGCTCTGCAGGGTGGGGGATATGCAGGACCAACATACCTGGTGTGCTGGCCCTGTCCCTGGCGGGCTCAGGTCCCTCTCACAGGCTTCAAGGAGATTTGAGAGGTGGGTTGCAAGGAAAGATGCAGGACTAACCAGACATATCTGTCCCTTTTGTGTGTCCCCAGGGCCTTGCAGCAGCCACCTCAGATGAAAACCTTTCCCAAAACCAAGAGAAACAAAAAGCTTCCTCAAAGTGGATGGAGATGCTGCACAGGCTGCCCTGCCTGAGCATCTCTGCCCTGCTCTGGATTATTTAACTGGGTTCTGCAAACACAATTTCAAACAGCAAACAGCTAAGCAAGGGGAGCAAGACATAACCTTTGTTTCTGCAAGACCTACCAGAAGCTGACAATGTGGGTACGTGGGCAATGGGGAAAACAGCTTATGCTTTAAGCTTCATGTGACCTCTGGAGCTGCTGGGCTTTGGAAGGTGAGAGTGAGACAATCCTCACAAGCACTTGATCCCTCTTGAAATTAAGGGGCTTTCCTGGGTACACAGCTTTCCCCCTTCCCTCCCAGAAGTGTATCTGATTTTTGGGGGTGGAAAAAAAGAGGATTGATTCAAATAAAAATGTATTTGTATGAGAAAAATTATTTCCTTCCATGAGTAAACACATAGTTTGAGGCAAATTTATGGCTTTGGCCTGGTCATTAATATCTGGTTGTCAAAAAGTATTGGTTTGAACAAAAATATGTTGTAATAAAAATGCATTGTTTTGAAGAAATTTATTGTCCCCATGAAAACCTATTCAATTCAGAAAGATATGTTGATTTCAATGAAAATCTATTTGTTTTAAGAGACAGAGAGAAGGAAGTTGCACTCAACTGAGAACCAGGGGCTTCTCTCTGTACAGATCTCCCTGCAGTCCCTTGGCTATTAGGATGGGAAAAGCTGGAAAATCAACAACTGGGCAGCAAAGGAAACCTGTAGGTCTTTCCTCTGCTCAGTGACCATCCTCCCAGCTGAAGAAAAGTGCCCCAGTTCCCCTAAGGTAAGGAGTGGGAGGTGGTTGTCTCCATTTCTTATGGATTGGATGGCTTCTTCCACAAACAGCTCTCCTCACCCTGCAAATCTAATATTTAGGTGACTTTTAAAGGTCCTTTCCAACCCAAAGGGATCTATGATTTACTCGTGAGGATCCCAGGGAGTGACTGCCATGAGAACCCACCTACATCTGGAAAGGTGCACATCTTGCAGGTGACCTGGAGACCTTCATCTTCTGCTTCCTGTCTCGAGCCACACATGAGCAGCAAGAATGTGTGTCAGTGAATGTCTGAAGGGGAGATGGCTGTGTCCACAGCGCTACCCAGAGCACTTCCCCTTTGGCTTGGTGGCACAAGAAAAGGGCCCCTTTTGGCTCAGGGCAGCTTTGTGGTGTGTCTTTGTGGCTCTCCCAGCCCTGCTCTGAGACGGGACCAAGGTTTGCTATCCTGCCTAAGCCTCTTTCCCTGCCAGCAGGGACTGGTGAAATTCACCCTGAGCTCCAAATCCCTAATGTTGCCTTAGCTGGGATTATGAGAGAAGCCACCGTGGTATCACCTGAAATCCACCTCCCGGTGCCTCCCGTTTAAAACAATCAGCAGATGTTTGCAGTGGGCTTTTTCTTTCATTATGCTCCAACTCTGCTATTTAATCAGCTTCTTCCTTCCTCTGTTTGTACAAGGTATCGCTCGCCCATATTAAAGCGGGGGAAGGGAAGGTGCGAGATGAAAAAAAAAAAAAATTAAAAAAAAATAGAATTGCCTACCCAAGAAATGTCACTGCCGCAGTGTTATCCCCTCCCTGCCAACACACACACGGGTTCTGGTGTCAGTGGAAAGGTTGCCTCTGATTAATATTAATAAAGAATTAGAGCTGTGTTTGTCATGATCACTTCGTTTGGTATTGCTCTGTGTGGCAGGTGAAAACAGAGAAAGGAAGGGAAGAGGTCTGCACGGCATTCATTAATCATTTCATCAGGAAGGAGTTCAAAGCAGAGGCTGGCCTTAACAAGGCCTGCAGCCAGGGATGGGGCCATGTTTATTTAGATGTTCCTCCTTATGTCCCTGACCTCCCACCTGGTCAGCTGGTGTGGGCCTCCAAAGCTGAGATGCCCTTCTAGGATCCAGGCCATCCTACCCCTAAACGGGGCTGGCCTGGTCTTGTCTAGGTCAAGGTGATGTCACATGGAAGTCTGACATAGGTCCACCATGGGTATCTGCTCATCAGGTGAAAAATGACTCCTCGAGAGGTCCTTGTTTCCCCTTTGAGCCAAGAGGATTAATAAAGAGTGGTGAGACCGTCCTTTGAGAAGCCGCCTGGTGGTAAACTTCCTTCTGCATGCTGAGACTCCTCAGAAGAGCAGCTCCTCAGGCCAGGTGGGCAGTGGCCAGGACCTGAGACACACTTGTGAGACATGGTGGTCTCTAGGAACTCTTGGAGTAAGCTCTAAGAAGCCGTGTTCCATCTCCAAGGAAAGGCAGTAGGGATACACTTGAATTTAAGGGGCTTGAGTTCAGAGGGCTCCTTGTCCTTCCCAAGGATGGTTCCTCTCACCATAAAAGAGGTGCCTAACCCCACACCCCTTGCTCTGTTGACCAGAAGAACCTACAGCTAACCTTATACTTAAACAACTGTTCAATGGTTCAAGTCCAGAGGCCTAAATCACATCTTTACAGAGCTGCTCCTGCAGCAGCCAGCCCTGCCCTTGGCACGTGGTGCTGTTGGGAACACAAAGATGGATGTCACAGGAGTCCACGTTCTGTAATTTATGCAGGTTGGAATTAAGAGTGAATATTTGAATTAAGAGGAATAATAAAATATTAAGAGCGAGTAGCTCTGACTGAGGCTGGTACCTTGCACTGGGTTCATGGCACACAATTCAGTCTTGGCTGATGTTTGCATGCAGAGCTTAGCGTGGGCAATTTATGCAGACTTTTAGTGGTATTTTGTTTCTTAAAAGTGTGGAGATTCCCGTAAATCTTGGCTTGAACACATCTGTGTGTGGCCAAAACTGGTCTCTGCTTTCTTTATAATCTGTATTTTCTGAATCCAAGACCAGAAGGCGATATACACGTACATATGGCAAAAGTTCTTTGTATTAAGAATTTACAGCTCAACCTTCTTGTTCCTTTTTCCATCTTTTTCCTCCTTTCCTCCTTTTTTTTCCTTTCCTTTTTTTTTGTTTTTGTTTTTTTGTTTTTTTTTTTTTTTGGGATGCTATTTATTATTCAAATGTGGGGAGACTCGAGCCAAGTGGTGCATTGCTCTCATTAATTATTCTCTGGGATTAAGGAATCAGTTAAAACCATATCTCCCTTAATCCTGTTTTATTAATTTTATATTCTTGGCAAAAAAAAAGAAGCAAAACAACAACCACATCCCCCCACCCCCAGCCCTCTATACAAAGGGATCATGCAGCTTTCTACTGGGACCCTGAGAACAGGAGGTCTCTGGTGTTCCATGGATGCTCGTTTTTTTAATTTGATAAAATAAATTAGCACAGGATTAAAGCCTTCCTGACAGCACAGCTCGACTGCAGTTACCACCTTAAGGGAGGCATTAACCATCGTTTTTAGCATGGAGGTGAAGTGGGAGTGAAGTTCTTCGGAGAGAGGGAACCTTCTTCTCTCTAGGAGCATGACTGGTGGCCTCTCCTCCCCTCCCAGACACAGCCAAAGGGACCAACTTTCTCCAGGGACGGGTTTTGGGGTGGGTGAGGTGGACACTGCTTGCTCAGACACACACACGAGCCCATCAGCTCCTTTCATACAGCAGCCATGGCTGATAACTGTAATTACCCTCTTCCTTTTGGGATATTTTGGAGATGTAAATGAAATATTTTTCACTATAACAGCAGAGACTTGACTCCAGAGAGTGATGGTTTGGTCTTGGAGGGAGAATGGGAAAATGGGAGTGGGGCTTTTGCAGGTTTCATCTCCTTTTCGTGACAGAGAGGCTCCAGCTGGTGCTATCATCAAATTCTGCTGGCATGAGAAGTGTGGAGGCCAGGCTGGGAGGGAGCAACCTGTGGCTGCACTGCAGATGTAGTGGCCTCCAGACTGCTTGTTTTTGTGGCTGCCAGAGAGGAGAGAAAAGACAGTGGTTCCTCAGACAGAGAGGAACCTGGATTGGGCTTCCAGGAGCAAGACTGAACCGAACCCAAAGAGTTTGCAAGGCACAAGGATCTGGGCTCTGAGTGCCAGGCTCAGCTTCTTGAGGCTCATTTTGAGCCCCACGAGGGAGAGGCATTTGGTCCCTCAGCTGGATGGGATCTCTTGGTTGGACTTTGGGAAACCCATGACATGGAGACATTTAAACTGGAATTGGTGGGACAGTTCTCAGAGCTCTGCAGTGCAGCATTTGGGACTGGTGACAAGGGTTATATAAAAAAAACAGACTGTGATGGCTGCATGGTTGATGAGTTCTTGTCCTGTGCTTGTCTTGAAGCTGAAGGACAAGTGTCTCCACCACTGAGCTGGGTGCTGGGGATGCATTGCTGTTTGCCTTTAATCTTTCTGTAAGTCAGGCTTTTGTAAGGCCTTCAAAACAGAGTTGTGCCTGAAATATTGCTGAGCGTTTTCTCCCTGGAAAAAGTGTCTGGTTTGCCAATAATGGCAGTGGCTTAGCAATGAGTCTGCAGAGATGCCAGCTGAGCCGGGCTGTGGTGGAAGGAGGTGTGGGATTCACCCTCGGCTTCCCTGGGAAGGGCTGTGAGGATTAGCAGGTGTCAGCAGAGAAGTGCCCTAGTGCTGTGTTGGTCTCAGGGTCACTGCTGAAAGCTGCTCCCTCTTTTGAGGGTGTCTTTGACCCTTTGCCTGACCTCACCTGAACAGCCCTGCTGCAGAATTGAGGGTCACACTGGAAGCCTGGTGTTGATTTTGAGGCAGTTTTGGAAATTCCCACAGCTGAGGCACCTGAACAGTGCAGAGATTTTTGCAAAAGATCTTCCATTCAGTAGCCATTCATACAGGAAGGCCGCACAGATCCTTCAATAATACAAACACCAGAAAACACCCTCGGGGCCTGATTTGTCAAACATCCCAAACCATGGCTTACTTATTTCCTCTGCCTTTTCTCTACAACCAGGGATTTCTTTTCTTCTGTAAGGTGTGTGTTATGATTTCTTGTTTGTGAAAAGTCACAAACAGAGAAAGCAGGGAAGTTTACTTTTATAGAAAACACAGAATTCCTTTGGAGGGAAACTATAAAGTGAATGGCTTCGTTTGTTTTATTCAGTCTAGGAACAACTTCCTAACTTGCTGTGTAGGAAAAGCCAGTTCTTTCTTGTCCTTCTGTTAGCAGAGCTGGCATGGAGTAGGACCACCATTCCCAGGTGCTGGGTATTCCCTGTACAAAAGGTTTAGGCAGGATTTCATTGCTTGGTAACTCTGTGGCTGATGGAAACTCACTTGGACCGAATGAGGTGCCAGGCTGGTGCCAAGCAAGTTGTGTCTTATCTCAGCCTGAGACCCCTCAGATGGTGGGGTGGGCTGCCTGGAGCTGGTTGGAGGTGAGTTGTGCTCTGGTCCTAGGGATATGCAGAGGAATCCTCAAAAGATGCCAACAGAAAGCTGAATTAGACTCCATCCTGCTCCTGAAATACTGTGTTAGCTGAGGTACAAAACCAAGTTTTCCAGTGGTGTTTGGGCAGAAAAAGTTATCTGTGCTGATTGAGCTGGGTTGGATTGGAGGGGCCTTCCCTATTGTTGGAGAAGTGCTGTGACATGGCTGGAGCAGCTTCCTTCTCCACAGGGACATAAGCCAAAGCAGGGTGTGGGCTGGGAGCACTCCTGGAGTTGGCCTTCGTGGCCGCTGGCTTTAAAACAGCTGAGACAACACCAAAAGTATACTGATAAAAATTTCAAACATCTGCCTTCAAGTGCCCTGGTAGTGTTTTGATTTTGTTCCCAAATTTTTGGGTGAGGGAAGAGCTAATTTAAGTGAATTTGCATCGCAGAGCATCGCTGATGTGCCAGGGAGGGGGACCTCGCAGAGCCACTCAGAAGGCAAGCCAAGAAAACAAAGGCGTGTATTCCCAGATTTGAGGTAGGAATTATATACACTTAGAGTCATGAACTCTGGGTAATAATTGAAAGGTCAGATTGATGAGAGCAGCCTCTGAGATACGATTTCTATGACAGCTTGATGGATGCTCCACTATCAAGGTGTGCTTTTAATCATAATCTCATTACTCCACTTCTTATGGTTCGACTCACCTAAACTCATGGGAGGAATCAGGGGCCACCTCTAAAATGTGAATTGGCTTTTATTTGGAGGTAGAAGAGTTGAGTGGTTGGGAGAAGAAAAAGGAAAGAAATGGGCCAGAAGAGAATAAAAGACCTTCTGGGCTTAGGATGAGTCAAGAGTGTGTGTGAGTGAGAGCAGCACCCCCACAGATCCAGAGCAGGGCTCTGGGTACCTTTCTGCTGGCTGGAACTGGTACAGGTGCTCTGGAGCAGAGGAAAGAGACTTGAAGCTCTCCCAGCATCAGCATCAGCCATGAATCTCATAGCACTGCTGCCCATGGGCAGCATGGGGCCACTACAGCTCTCCCAGGCATGAGCAGAGCTTTTTTGGGAGGAGAAAGCCAGTGCTGGCTGTTCACGCACTCTGATCTATCTATCCAAAGCCCATGAAGATTTTCTGATGGCAGCTGTAAAATGTGCTGATGGACAGCACCAGCTTCCGCAGTCCCTGTGCCTTGGAGAAGTGAAGAGCCTTTTTTTTTTGAGGCTGTGGTGCACAGGAGCTGAGAAGATGAAGTTGAGCTTTATCCCAGCTAGACCCCAAAGAGCCACTGAGGTGACACCACCTCTTCTTTTGCAGTAAATACCAAGAAGCCCAGAAGATCCACCATATCCACTGGCCCATCGACTCTGGCTGTGTAG